CAAGAAACATTGGAGGCTGCTGTGGTCGTGACTTGCGTACGACCTGGGGTTACGATATGCGCCGGGATGAAACCGCGCTCCATTCGAAGTCGCATGCGGTCTTACCGCGAAGCATGGAAAGCACTGGAAGCGCGGGAAAAGCCAGTCACGCGCGCAGTCGGTCGGTTCAAGTCAGTGTCGTGTGTCGTCAGTGCAGTCGGTCGCGTCGGTTCGTCTCTCAAGTCAGTCGGCTGGACCCGTCAAGCGCAGTTGGTCCTATTCGCCTCGTCACGCCGGAGAAGTCATCTGCCCGGCTCAAGTCGGTGGACCAGCGCAGTCGTCCTGACCCTAACCCTTGGGAATTCTACACGCAACATGTCGATCGCGGTATCTATTTCTCATCTTGTTCTCCTCATCATCAGGTATGCTTAATTGTATGTTCTCATGTGTTGTAGTTCGTTTATCCCCATAGTCAATATTTATTGTCGTAATAGTATAAGCCTAAACCGGTATCAATAATCAGTGTAGTTTTAGTGAGGTAGTATGTGGTTGGTTAAAACACCTTCATCTCATCACTACTGTAGCACAAGGTCGTAGTGCGCAAACCGTAGGTCTTCAGGGGGTAAGGGCCTAACTACCCGTGGCAAGGTCGCAGCATTCAGCGCGACAGGTAAACCCCCTAGGGTGTGTGGGCACCGACAATTCCCACGTTCTGCCGTGGTCCGGGTGCACGCACCGCCGATGCATTCTTCAGTCAGCACCTGGTCACGACAAGAAATGGTGCATCGACCGCAGTCACTGTCGTCGAAAGACGGCTTTGGCTGTCGAGATCGATCCCGTTCTGTCGCGCCACGTACCTACTGTCGTTCGCATCGTCGCTACCCTTCGTCCCTTCGCAAAAGGTAAGCGCATAGGCGCAGTTGGCTATTTCTCTGCCAACCTTAGTAGGTTCACAAGCGCATTTTGGTCAGTTTTCTGTGGGCAAGTATCGTCGTGAGCGTCACGACTGGAGCTATTGCATACCGTTCACGTACCTAGAAGCAGTGTTACCGTCGGGACCAGTGGCAGGGGTCCCTTCGGTATTGTTACTCGCGTAAGTGTAGGCTGCACTGCCTAGGTAAATCGGGCCCGTCGTGAGTTCGTGGTGTAGGCTCCTTATGCGCCTTGCAACTATTGCAATTGGGTAACATGGGTGCCGCTGGTCAATGCCACCCGCCGATAAGATGGGGAGGCAGTTGTGAGCGGAGGTGCTCCTGCACGGCCCATTGAGGCGCGGAAAGCACACCAGTGCCACTGCGAGCATTGCATTTCATGTAAGTCTTCGTGTTGACCTAAGTTGCGTTTCTTGCACGCGCTAGACTGTAGACGTACCCTCATAGTTGCTCATGTTAGTTATTTTTCCATTATTCGCTTGCTTTGCCTACTCTCTCTTTTTGATACTCCCTTTATATCAGTACCTATCGTTTCTGTCAATATAGTGCTGCTCACTACCCCTTCATTGTAGTTTATTGCTTGTAGTCCCCTTGTTTTCCTTTAGTTTGTTCACATTCTTCCTTTCTCCCATCCTTCGCGTGTTGCGTGTATTCCATCTACCTCGTTCGTTTCCCCTACCCTGGGATACACATTCTACTTTCCCTTCAGGACGATAGCAGCTCCCTGGTGTACGTTGTCCACTATGTCAACTCTACGCGGACACAAAGCACGGATAACGATTGCGGTTGGTACATTATCTAAGATGCTTTCAACTATCGATTCCAGTTGTTTGACGCCGATCGATACCGAGAAGACGCCGCAGATGCAACTCCGTACGATCCTACGTCGAAAGGAGTGAATTCTGCTGTCAAACGCGCGATAGAAAACGCATCAGGACTTCTTAGAGTCCGTTATGACGCATTGTTTGTCCTTTCGTTCGAAACCCAGGAGAATTGCGAAGAACTCCAACAAGAAGTCGACCGCTTCTGGAATGAACAACAAGGCGAGAAGCTTATGAAGACGCGCAAATCCTTATTACAACTCTGGATGCGCAACTTCTTATAGACGAGTCGCTGCAAAACATCCTTTCCATTAAAACACAGCGACGAAATCGTTACTGCCTGGCGCTTTGACCATCTCAAATACCGGACGTCGGGTTCATCGTATTACAAGACAAACCCAACCGCTCAAGAACATCAGATCCGAACCAAGACGCACTGCCATCTACGCCTAAACAAGACACTCCCTGTTCGGTGCTACAGCCGATTCAACTACGTCGTCTGGAACTGCCAACTTTCGACGGTGATGTCACCAAGTTTCACGATTTCTGGTGCAGATTCAGGGGGGGGGGGAGAGAAAGCTCACCGCGGCGCGGACGCGAGCGCGTGCAGGTGACGTCACAGCTGCGACAAAACGGCAACGAGAGGGCGAGGTAGGAGTGTTGCTGTCACTTCGTTTGGCTGATAGAAGGGATACTAGCATTCACTAATTGATGCAGTCAGTAGTACCGTGAGCAAAGAGGTTGTATTGTGTGTAGGTACAATTTTCGCCGTCGAAAATTAGGAATATTTTTGCAAATTTGAGGAAATTAACGGTTTCGCATTTAAAACCCAACGAGTGCGCAATTAAGTCGAAGTTGATTACTTTAAGTTCATTCTTCGTTATTACTTCTACTCACTGCACAGTGAAGTCAGAATCGATAGTGTCTAATACGTATTGTTATAAAGTAATGGCGCCTGTCTTGCCCAATCCCTCCCCGCTGCTGTGACGTCAAATTGACGTCACCTGCACGCGCTCGCATCCGCGCCGCCGGTGAGCTATTCCATGGAGCCAGATTCAGGACTGCAGTGCATGATGATAACCAAAGTCTCGTTGTCGACCAAGTTCATTTACTTGACCAACTCGTTGAAGGGCAGCGCAGCACTCATTGTTCAAGGCTACGATCCATCAATGCCAGAAAACTACCAACTTGCTGTAGAAGCGCTCCGTAGACGATATGATCGCCCTCAATTTACCCACAACCTTTTCCATCAGAGGTTGGAGCAGTTGCCAGCGTCAAGCCGTTCAGCTTCGGCACAACGAGACACACTTTCCCAAATTCAGTCCTTTATTCTGCAACTCAATCGCTACGAAGGACACCACCACTTCGTTGGCACTTAGGAAGACGATCATGAAGAAATTTCCTCGTGAAACGCAGTTGGAAGTCTACAAACTGGAACACCGCTCAGGGAAAACGTGGACTTTACCAGAACTTCTAGACGGACTTAACGAAGTCATTGAGGAAGTGGAAAAGCTAGAAGACTACAGTGTTACTCCTGTTAACCATCCAGAAGCGCGGGAGTACGTCATCAGATTTGTGATTCCGCATGTGCCCCACGAAAACTACCATCGCCATCATTAAGAAGACGCATGTTACGAAGAAGACGCATGTTACGAAGAAGACGCATGTCACGCAGCAGTCAGTTTTTCGCTACCATCTTCAACTTTTTGGACGTTTGGTACGATTGAGATTTAACGATAGAGTTTGGACGATTAGATGTTTGGTCTCCAGTTTGGATGCTTCGGTTCCAGTTGGTCTCCACGACATCATGGTATAGCGCCAGTCGATGCCGACGTTCAGAAGGTTGGATCTCAGTTACCTATTGTGTAGTAGTTTCTGTTGTTTACTAGTTTTGTTTGTAGTTTTTTGTATGTTTTCCATTTTTGTGGAAGTTTTTGCTTTACTGCCACTTTTTATTGTAATTGGTTTTTTGAGTTCTGAGTGCCCTTAAGGCTCGATGTCACTATGAGAGCTTTACTATTGCCACATTTATCCTTGCCTTTCGCATGTAAAAGTCCTCAGTGTGTCATGCCGTAGAATCGGACGGTGTTGCGGGAACTTTACTTACGTTTACTTCATTCACCGTGGCGTCCGCAAAGTCGCTAAACGGCATCCGCGCGCATCTCCTTCCGCCGCCCGGAGTGTCGTGACTTGCGTACGACCTGGGGTTACGATATGCGCCGGGATGAAACCGCGCTCCATTCGAAGTCGCATGCGGTCTTACCGCGAAGCATGGAAAGCACTGGAAGCGCGGGAAAAGCCAGTCTCGCGCGCAGTCGGTCGGTTCAAGTCAGTGTCGTCTGTGTCGTCAGTGCAGTCGGTCGCGTCGGGTTCGTCTCTCAAGTCAGTCGGCTGGACCCGTCAAGCGCAGTTGGTCCTCATTCGCCTCGTCACGCCGGAGAAGTCATCTGCCCGGCTCAAGTCGGTGGACCAGCGCAGTCGTCCTGACCCTAACCCTTGGGATTCTACACGCAACATGTCGATCGTGGGTATCTATTTCTCATCTTTGTCTTCTCCTCATCATCAGGTATGCTTAATTGTATGTTCTCATGTGTTGTAGTTCGTTTATCCCTATAGTCAATATTTATTGTCGTAATAGTATAAGCCATAAACCGGTATCAATAATCAGTGTAGTTTACGTGATGTAAGTATTGTAGGTGGTTAAACCTTCATTCTCATCACAAAACTTGTAGCCACAAGGTCGTACGTTGCGCAACGTAGCGTCGTTCAGGGGTAGCCCTAACTACGTGGCAAGCATACGCGCATTCAGCGCGAAGGTAACCCGCCGAGGGAATGTAGTGAGGCACCGACAACTCCAGTCTAGCCGTGGCCCAGGGAATTCACGCACCGCACGAGTCCGTCAGACCTAGGTCACGACACCTTCTCAACTAATCTGCACTTGGAATATTTTCAATGTATTACGAGCGTAGAACAAGATGGAATTTAGAAGAGTGATGGACGCCCATATTCAGGTATCATATACGTATAGAGAACTCTATGGGGCTCCAGACATACTAACACATTTGGGCGCCGGCCGCGGCGAACCGTAGGCCGACGTTGATGTTGCCAGCGAACTCAGCGGAGCACCAATTAGCGGGACCACGAAAATCGAGTGCATTGCATAACGGTCGCGGCACAATCGCTACGGCGCGTTGGCCGCAGGCGGCCAACCATGTTGGCGTTAGGTTTATTGTCTGGAGCCCAAGCTTATTGTCACTTAGTTTACTGTCTGGAAACTTAAAACTAATCGAATCAAACCTTAAAGTATTGGTGGCGCACTCCGCGCATTCCCCGTTGTTTTTTTGACACGAGCCATCAGATGTCAAACAATGCGACAGTCACGCCTAAGGCCGACGTCATACTTTGCGACTCGATTAGCGAATCGCTGGTCAATCGAGCGAATCGCTAATCGAATCGCAAAGTATGACGTCGGCCTAACGGAGACTTCTGCAAGTAACGCATGTGCCGCAACGCAAACCCCCACGATCGATACTTGCCGGGATTGTTTGAGTCAAGCTGTCGAGTCTGGGTGAGTTTTCACTGAGTTCCAGTGGTGAGACCGTACACACAGGCGAGGACAAAGCGAATCGCTCCATGCTTGATCGTCGAATCGCTCGCCAAGCTGAACAAGGACGGCGATGGCTCTGCCCGATCGATACCGCAGCCGACTGCATCGACTGGGGGCGGGGCCAATCGCTCGTCGCTTGTGCACTTTGCAAGCTCTCGGCAGAGCGATTGCAACGCGATGGAGCGATCGCGATCGTGACGGCGGTCTGAGATGGAAACGATTGGACACAAAGAGGGAAATATCCGCAAATATGCTGACTCCCCTTCTGTTAATGTATGATGCATTTCAAGAACAACACCGTATATCTCCCATCTGCAGTATTCTTGCATACTTACTATTTTACTAGCTACAGCAACCGATGAGACCTTCCATGGGTAGGGAGTACGCCTTCACTTCCACTTGGAATGTGAAATTTTCATGAAGAGAAGCCATATGAACGGATAGGAAGGTTTCTTTGAGTAGCAAGCTCGTTGAACTTGACATGGGCGGTGTTGACGTGTTGGTTTCTTTTCTTGAATTCTTCTTTTTTCCTTCTCCCCCACCTTCCCCCAAGGCGGAATTCGGCGACCGCGAGAATACATAAGGACCGAGTCACACGGCGTGAGCAGTTTTGCACGATTAGACACGTTCTCGTTGCGCGGCGGAATGCACACTTCGCTGCGCGAAGCGGTCTGGGTTTCTTCCGGGCCATAGGAGCGTGGGCGTTGGAGAATCCTCGAACGGGGTTGCGGGGGTGGCGAAGGCGTGAGACGGTTGACGGTTGGCGGTTGCAGGCTGGCACCGAAATTGACGTGTACTTGATAGAAGTTGCGTGGATGAGCTGTTTCCAGCATGCTTTGCTGATATCCAGCGATGTATGCTGGCAACAGCTTATCCACGCAACTTCTATCAAGTACACGTCACATCGGTGCCACACCTACCCCAACTATCGGATATCGAGTATAGGATTTCGAGCCTACTCAGGAGTGGAGTGATGGAGGGACTGAGAGAAAAAAACTCAAAGACGTGCGTACGCTGAGTCGACTTTGACGCGTACTGACGATACCGCTGCAGCAAGCAAGCAAGAAAAGAGAACAAGCGGTGGCCAGCGCCGGTGCCACTTCGCCAAGGTAGTTTCTTTCGCTGTCAGCTTATCAACTTGTCCTATTAGTATAGTACGGAGCGGAGTGTATCACGTAGAAGATACACAAAAGAAGGGGTCTCATCCACTAAGGGGGCATTGTGATGCAACGTCAAGTGGCTGCCCTCACCCCCACCCCCTGAACTGCCTTCACTCCCCCTGGCTCACGGGGTCCCGTACTTCGAGAAACCTGTGCGCCAGGGGGAGTGTAGGCAGTCTAGGGGGGTGGGGGGTGAGGGCAGCCACTTGATGCCCCCCTTACTGGATGAGACCCAAAGAAGTTATTAGGAATTGAATTATCCTGAAAATATTGACGAAATCAAGACTTACATGTGTAAATCCATTAAAGTGCACCATTATGTTGAAGTTGGCCGTATGTATGTAGCAGTACAGAGTAGGGGATGGGTCCCTAAATTTGTGCCTCTGGACGTATCCCCTGTTCGTGACATCGACTGGAACAGAAACGAAGGGTTCTGCGGATTCACCTCCGGCCGGCTCCTGCGAGTCAAATATCTATAGTTGAATTTTCGCGCCATTACCTCAGCGCGATCCTTGTCCGTACGGACAACTTGAACTCAGCCCTTTAAACCGCCTCGATTTGACGCTCTCGCCTGCGCTCTCTCGCTTAACCAGCGCTTTATGATTACTGTGATCTTATGTATTCAAACTTTGCCACAATATAATTGGCTCATCCACTACGGAGTCCCTCCTCCCTTCAAGGCTTAGTCCTAGAGCTCTCACCTTCTTGGTTGGGATTTGGAGCCGAGCCAGGCACCGTTCTCTAATCGTCTGTGCTCTGGCCTTTCTCGGCAGAGAACATAGAGGAGAGTTCAAGTAGTCACGTAATTTATACTCCCAGCTTCGATTACCAACAAGGGAGGGAAGGACATGTGTGTGGATAATTCGTGCCGCTTGCAGTAACTGCCCTAATTTCCAGTAGATAAGCCCGCGCCGATATCACGTAAAACACCTCTCGTGCAGTGTAATTTTGTACACCTTAGAAACTACCGTAAATTTGCCTATAGAGGTAATTCGATGCCCTGATTACGAAAATGACATTCATTTTTAGCGGTGGCGCCATCTGGCGCCAGTTGGCGTCACCTTGTCACGACCCTTGTTTCCACCAAAATCGGTGTAAACTTCTGGGGGTTATTATGGATTACGAATACGCCACTCGCTTTTGGCATTAAAGCAACAGTCCCAGCAGGGTTTTTACCTTCGACACTAATGGTGTGGAACGATGCGCTAGCCCTAGTCAAGAACATAAGAAGTGTGACTGAACAAAAAACTCACCTTGGAAAGCCGCTAGAAAGGGAGCTGAACAGCTTCGAAGTGGGCGTGGTTTCGGCTGCAATCCCCTCGGCCGATTCCAACCACGCCCACTTCGAAGCCGTTCAGCTCCCTTTCTAGCGGCTTTCCAAGGTGAGTTTTTTGTTCAGTCACACTTCTTATGTTCTTGACTAGGGCTAGCGCATCGTTCCACACCATTAGTGTCGAAGGTGAAAACCCTGCTGGGACTGTTGCTTTTAGATTGTTCGGTATATTTCTCGGCTAGAGAGCACAGACGACCAGAAAATGGGCGCCAAATAGCGCCAACGCCGAGAATGAACACCGTAATCAGAACACCAATAAACCCTTCAAAATGAATGTCACTTTCGTAACTCCGTACATCGAATTACCTCCATAGGGAAATTTGCAATAGTTGCTAAGGAGTACATAATGGCTCCCCACTTTCTTCACGATTTGGGGCGCGGCCGCGGCGAGCGCGGACGAGTCGATAGTGCCCGCGAACTGTGTGGGTAAATTTGAAAACGCATCACCACCACAGTTCGCGGGCACTATCGACTCGTCCGCGCTCGCCGCGGCCGCGCCCCAAATCGTGAAGAAAGTGGGGAGCCCTTGTGTACACCTTGGCAACTACCGCAAATTTGCCTATAGAGGTAATTCGATGTCCTGATTACGGTGTTCATTCTCGGCGCTGGCGCTATTTGGAGCCCATTTTCTGGCTGTCTGTGTTCTCCAACCGAGAAATATACTGAACAACCTTAATCGGGATCGAGTTTTTGCTAGCCTCCATTCTACTATTAGAAGGTGCAATATTTTCTTGGAATAGTAAAGCCAACATTCGAAAGCGAAGGATTCCTTTTTTGGAGGATAAGGCAGGGCTCATACCGATCAACAGGATCAGGAAGCTCTAGTACCAAGGGATCGGCGAAAAGTGAATCATTTCCACCATTGAGGTAAGCGTTATTTGGAAGAACCTAATTTTTCCTGACTGAATTAAAAGAATTTCAGCCATTTCCAGCATTGTTGAGACAGACCGGCACACTTTATCTCTCAAGTAAATCATGAAAGGAGGAGGCTTGGGTAGACCACCGCCCGATGCTGGGATTCCTTGTGACATAGAAAACCGCTCCATGAACGCATTTCGGGAAAGGAAATCGTTGAGGTTTGCCTTAGCAATATAGTTGTCATTATTATAACTTGGACCTCTGGGAGATCCATTGATCACTCTCAAAAGTATTTCTTTCTAAGGTCACACGGCTATCAATATCGGCTTTTTGAATGTTAGGGCGCAAATTTCCGACCAGCGGTAGTTATACCTTTCAAAGATTCAATATAAATATCAATGAAGGCGTGAATACAGCAGCAGGGTCTATTCCAGTTAGGGGGCATCATGGTGCGGTGACTCCCAAAAAGCTACGGTAACTCTGAGCCAGGGGGAGTGTAGCCAGCCTAGGGGGGTGGGGGTGAGGGCAGTCACTTGACATGCGTGAGAAGCTGGAATGTTCGAGTTTACATTAGCTCGCCGAGAAACTGCATCATGATGCCCCCCTAACTGGAATAGACCCAGCAACATTTTTGTTGTGCATTTGATATCAAAACTGCTTATAGACTGATCGAGTTCTATGAGGTAGCGGTCAACCATGGTCTCAAAGACATCTACGCTGGGCGAATGAGTGTTGCCGATCTAGTTGGGGTAACGTACAAGATGTTTTTCTTTTGCTAACTGGAGTGTGATTCACTAGGACAGAAAGCGAATTTTTCGCGTTTCGCAGCGCGAAACATTTTTCGCTGCGGGAACCCAGGTCCACTCATGATCAGCGGTGGACCTGAGGTTCCCGCAGCGAAAAATGTTTCGCGCTGCGAAACGCGAAAAGTCGCTTCTGTCTTAGTGAACCACACCCTGTTAACTGGGCGCTTATGCTGCAGTTTTTGTTACAGTTCGAGGAATGTTTACTGAATGCAGCATTCGCGTATACAAGGCCGCGAAGGGAGTATGCAAATGGACTTGGAGAGGAGCAAACTTTGATAGTACGACCTCCATCTAATTTTCATTATAATCTTCTTCAGTTGAAAAATTGCTTTAGTTGGAGATGTTGCTGAAATATGGTCCTATAAGAATTGATTGCCTTTTGAAAACCCCTCATGAGCTCAAAATGGCACGTATTGCACGTATAGCTTGTTTCTCGAGGCCACGCAGTTCGCAACTGCGGACTCTGTGGTATATGATTTCGAGAAATAGATACCACGTGTGCTTTCCACTTTACTGTCATATTTGCTAAGCAACGCACATGACATCATATACGTCAAGGGCAACAAAAAGAAGGGCGCCATTATTTCCACCGGCCCCACAAATACGGCTGTCCCGGTCGCGGAAAGCAAAGTGAAAATGATGGGCTGTGCGACATCATCGGCTGTCTTGCGCCGCGCCCCATCGGGATCCATTCAAAGTATACGTCGACGCTGAAGGGTTTTTTTTTCAGTCGTACTGAAAAATTCCCTATCTTCAAGATCTATTTTCGCCTGACATTTATTTCTTTCTGTTTCTCATTACCAATGGTGGAAATACCCATCAAACTGAATGTTAGGTTTTCACCATCCCTCAACTCCGAACATCAACACATGCGTCACACTTCAGCGATATGGAACGGGGTCTGGTAGACCGGATGTATGGAAGACGGGCGTAGCCTGAGGCCGAAAATTTCAACTTAACTTCAGTACGTTCGGCTGCGAACTCCGCCCTCCATAGACTTTCAAACATCTTTTGACTGGACCTTTGATTTTAAACTTGGACTTTCTTCTCTCTTTTATTATCCACTTTTTCCTATTGCAATTAGATATTGGCTTCGCCCATCCTGGTACAGTCTTCTTCCCCTGGCCTGCGTCAACCTACCTAGAGCGTGCACTGCCCATCATGGGCGCTGACTAGCCCTTAGTTAGAATTCCCCTTCCAGTCACCATGCTATTACGGAACCTTTGCTCGGATTTGTCAATTTAGCTCCACTAGAGTTTTGAACATCATTATCATTGCAACCTTGTATGATGCCCCTTCGTTTTTAGGAACGCATCTTTGGAATTTACGCAACGTTTATACTCTACTATGCCCAACCGATTGACTACGTGTCGAAGGTATAATGGTTGGAATTGGTTGTTTACGTTTTAATATTTTGTTCGCTTGCTTAAAAACTATTCAGATCCATGTCACGCCGGAGGATTGTGACAGCCTCATGCAGCTCTCAGAGAATACTCTTATCCCTGCCGGTCATGTGGACGCTTACGCATGTCTACAAAGACTAATTGTGGACGACGCGTTCAGAATTGTTATGTCTTCCAAGAATGTGGGTGTGGTCCGTGATTTGACGCGAGATATTTTGGTCGAGGAGGTTTTCTGTCATTCAAGCATGATCTCTCCAACCATCGTCGCTATGAGAGACCGAACCCAGTCGAGATGTTATTGGACGAGCAAGAACGCCACGTTCCACTGGAATCTGCTTCGGGTATCATGAAGCACCCTGTTTTGAAAGTGAGCGTTGAGTTTCTTCTGAAACTGTTTCTAACAATTCAGTTACAGGCCATGAAGTACGTCGAGCAAAAAATGGAACAGAAAGAGAGGTCGTTGTTTAATCGTCGAATGCCCAACAACGACACTTCAAGTTTTTTGGATAAACTGCAAAAGTACGCGCCATTTATTTACAGCTGAACAGGTGTTGGACGATCAGAGTAGTGACTCTGTTTCTGCTTAATTTACGAACCTGCGTGGTTTTTTTTTCATTAACTCCCGATCCTGACTGACATGTTCAATACTTTCACCGTTTGGGTTCAGTTTTGATTTTCAATAATACACATTGATTGGACTGTAAGAAGAATGCTACTTGTTCTCCAAGAAAAATGTAGGAGGAATAGTGACCAACACAACTTTACAGCGCTATGTGAATCGGGTGGGCGTGCTGGATTTCGATATGACTTACCCTGAATATGTTTACCCACCCCGAAACTCTTCTCTTTACTAAGGCGAAGCTCCAGAAAAGGAGAAATCGTGAAAGGTAATCGACATTATTTTCCGAAGTCCGTTCTACTCAAACATGGGCGTTCCCACCGAACTCAGATAGCACCAAATTTCCTTGTGCTTTTATACCACCATGCAGCTTTTCCTCTGAAGTTCAATGACGTGAGCGCAGGTTGCATTCTAATGTCACCACTTTAGTGGGCGTGATTTTACCATACAAATCTTTAAAAGTAGATTGCAAATAATAAAAGCTGTTGCTACTTTCACCCAGGTTCCCAAAGATTAAGAGAGATAGAGAACAGAGACCAAGCGAGGATCA